GCTGGGAGGGGGCACAGCCAGGACAGCTGACCCAAACTGGCCCAAGGGACATTCCATACCATGTGACGTCATGCTCAGTACATAAACTGGGGAAAGCTGGCCGGGGGGGGCCGCTGCTTGGGGACTGGCTGGGCATCGGTCGGTGGGTGGTGAGCAATTGCATTGTGCATCACTTGTTTTGTATATATTATTATTATTGTTGTTGTTATTGTTATTGTTATTATTGTATTTCAATTGTTAAACTGTTCTTATCTCAACCCATGAGTTTTCTCACTTTTACTCTTCCGATGATTGTCCCCCCCATGCCACTGGGGGAGGGAAGAGTGAGCGAGCAGCTGTGTGGTGCTCAGTTGCCGGCTAAGGTTAAACCATGACAGGCATTTTGCTCAGTTGTGAACATTTTCCTGGACTTTATGAGGCAGATTGGCTTTTTTCCATATGACCACACACACAAAAAAACTGTTGATGCTTAGATGTGACCCATTTTGCATGATAGGCAGTAGCTAACAGGTTGGTTACAAGCGGTGCTATCATTCTAGATTTTGAGTTGGTTTGGGTTTTTTTTCTTTTTTGACTTATTTTTATTTGGAGCAATAACATCTGCTTAAGAAAGAAGGCTGTATTTTGGCAGAGATTATGCCAACACAGGAAGACAAAGATAGTTTTGTACCAATGTCCTCAAACAAGATCTTCTATACCTTTTGTCAGTGACCCATAATTTGCTGAAGCCACTTTAAAGACTTCCCATACATGCAGTTAAGCTACGCTGTAGAGAAATATTCCAGAAATGAGAGTTATTTATCCGTCTCGTTATGCCATAGTTTATGTGAGAAAGAAAGGGAATATTGTGTTAATGTTTGAGAGGAGGATGTATTGTTTGCTAGGTTGCTAGGCTGCAAGGATGAAGTATTGACATGGAAAAAAATGGCAGGAATATTTTATATTTTAATAAAAAATATCCTTTCTTCAGTTTTTGAAAAGAAAGTGTGGGAGTCCTGCCTTTATTTTTCACAGATACCTAGGGTTCGGTTCAGCTCGGTAACTGATATCATGCAATTCAGAACAGATGTGAAATGAGAGGGGAAAAAAAAAGAAGCCAGGCAGAAGCACTGTTTAATCACAGGAAAAGCAGAAAGAAAGGAAAGGAAAACTGCCCTCAAAATGGTCATATACAATATATTTTGTATTTCAATAAGATAAAAAATAATTGCACCATTTACAAAACATGAAAAGCTTGACATATATAGCATATTTTCTCCATTCAGATGAGTAATACTCATTTTCATTTGACACACTGAAAATGACATAGAAAAATACTAATAGAATGTAACTAATATTTTAAAATGTTCTATATGCAATATTTTTTAAGAGAAGTATTTATTGTGATTATAAATTTTTGGTTTTAGCCATTGATATCCTTTAAAAAAGGAAAAATATCCTCTTATCAAAACATAGTTTGTAAAAGGCATACCATACTCAAAATGCAAGCCAATATGTATTTTCATTGATAGCTTTAGGCCTTGTTATACAGTGCCTGTTTTAAAACTCTGGAAATCAGCATTTGGGATTTGCTAGGAGACAGAGCAGAATTCCCAACCAACCAAAACCTATATTTTCCAGGGTATAAGAAGGAATACTGGCTGATCAAAGGCTGTAATATCTGTTTTGCTATTAAGAAAATTTCAAGACATTTCAATACATTTCCATTACAAATCACAGGCTTCTAATATTTAAGCTAAAGAAGTCCCCTTTTGCTATCATTGAAACCACGAAAAGACTTTGGACTGCTCTGGACCTACTTACTCAGTTGGGTCAGCCATGGGGGTCATGCAAAGGCTGCTGAGCAGTGAGTGGTATGCACAAATACGAGATCAGTTCTTACGCTTCTGTACTCCCTCTTGGGTAGCACATCCTTAGGCATGGAAGGAATATTTCTGTGTAAAACCTTCAGTGCCTAGAAAGTCTAAGATGTCCAAGACATCTAAGATGTGCTACCCTTGTAGGAGAGGTTATTTGGGGTCTTTGTTGGGAAAGTAGGCACTTAAATCGCATCTGTACTATTAAGTAAGAGTGGAGAGGGACTACTCTCTGGTCTACCAGCTGGCCCAGCACAGTTCGTCTGGAGACATCTACAGTTTTTCCTTTTTCTCCAAAGAATAGCACGGCCATATCAAAACTACTTACTGGGTGTGGTGCTTGGAATATACCTTTTCCCAGACAATGGCTGGGCACTGTCTGGAAATGTATGAGTGAGCACAGGCCAAAGCTGTGGAGGCAGTGGGCTAACAGCTAGGCACTATGGGTGAGCCTTCTCTAGTGCTCAAATCTGGCTTTGACCTTTTTTTATTCTTCTTCTTATCCAGATGTGACTTTAAATTCCACCTCAGCTGCACTATAAGTATTCAAGTGTTAAATTGATGCTTTTCTATGATGTTCACTCCTCCAACTACTCAGACTGTTTCATGCCAGTTCTCAGGCCTGAAAAAGACCTGGAAAAATGGAGGATCTTTGTGGGAAGGGATGAAGACCAACATCTCCTACATTCTAGGCTAGTTTTCAGGATGACCCGAGGGTTTCACCTTCTACTTCTTGGACATCTTACAGTGTTCTGCAGAGGGATCTTGTCCCACAAACCCAAAGTTTCTTTTGAAGAAACCAGAGCATGGGGATAGGAAGGCTGATAAGCATCAGCATCTCACCCTGAAGTGGGATATGACCTAAGTTCATATCCAGACAGAACTCTGAAAATAGTTTCCATGTAGCCTCACTGGCCAAAACAGAGAGAAATGGGACCAGCATATTAAAAAACTCAGTATAGACTGCAGACAAGGTTGAAAGAGGCTGCAATAAAAAGGGTATGGAGTGGGAGACACTTATTTGAGAAATAGATCTCAGGAACAGGTATTCTCATGGAATCTTTAAAAATATGGACAAGAGTTCAAATGTAATTTTGAGCCAAAGCTGAAGACTTGTGAATCAGACAGGAAGATGATGTGTACAAACTGAGATTGGATACATAAAAATGTTCACAGAAGCCTTTTCACATTGCATTATTTACTTCTGCTCTTGAATAAACATTTATTTCCTGTCTTGCTTAAGACACATGGGTTTGCTCATTTTCTTGTTACCATGTATGGTGTGCTGTTCAATACACTCCCTACAAACTGATGTACATTTTCAAATATGATTCATAAACCAACTTACTACTCTTAGATCTATTCTATGAAGAGAAAATGTGGATTTATACTGAACAGAACTACAGTGTTAGTGATCAGGAAGGAACATCTGTGAATATTTATCTGTCATCAGAGCCAGCATTTCTGTCTCCAACCAATAGACTACACTCACTGAGTAATTAAAAATAGAAAAACAATTACCTTATTTCTTTTATTGTTGCAAGTGTCAATATAGCAACTGAAGCATTAAAAATGTGGTAGGGGATATAGTCAACACTGGGAAAACCACTTGCTGTTTGGAAGTTTATTTAAGAACAAAAAGTACACACATCGCCTAGTCTTCCTTCTCATTAATCATTTACTGTGGATAAGAAACCTTTGTAAGCAATTAAAACCGAATTTGTAATGAAAAAAATTGTGTTCTACAAAATGCAGTAGGCAAAAGCTACTATAAAGAGATAATCACAAACCATAGATTAGTGATAAAGGCTTCACTTTATCACCTTACCCATACCTACCACCATTGCAAACAAGCTAAGATAAAAGTTTTGTGATTCTGGAACTAATACGTTGAAATTAATTATACAATTTAAGCTGCTACTGACACTAATAAAAATTATAACTGATGAGATGAAACATACTGAAATCAAACTCTCAGCTAGATTGCTTTTCTAACATGTCAGTGTTTGAATTTTCAGTGCTTAAAAGATTTAATCTAAGTTTCCTTTTTTATTAAAAACAGGTCTAGGAAGAAGGAAAATAATCAGCTGACTATATTGCTTTTCAGCCTGTGATAAAGGAAAGGTAGTTACTAAGCTTTTCAGATATTCTGAATGAATACAAAAAGGAAATTTTTGTTATATAATAACCTAGATAGATAACAAGTACCTAGTCAGTAAATAATGTACTTCAAAACAGATAAGTGGAAAATAAAATGGGAAACATGCAAACCTCTCTGTATTCAGTCATACAGGTTTTCATCACCTTTGTAGCCTGGTGTCCAATCTATTTTTGCATGATCACATGTGAAACTGTTCTATGTCCAAAAAGCTAGCTTAATTCCTATGACAAAGATCATTGCTCAGAAGAGAATAGGTAAAAGAAACTAGAATTAACACATTTATTTTGCTTTTCTGTTTAAATAATGATAATAATAATTGTAATAATCACAGGTCCTGCAGCCATGACTACACAGCATCAAATGACAGAATCTTTAATGTGTTCCTTTTAGCTCCCAAATGTAGCCATTGGTCCTCACTGTGGCACATTTATCCCCTAGTCTACAGCTGTTGGCGTTCAGGAACCCTAATGTGTGTTTTGATGCTGTGGACTGGATAAGGTTTTATTTGAAGGGAAGCAGCACCATCTATTGCGACCTGATAGCTTAACTCTAGATGATAGAAAGAACAGAGCTGGCCTGAGCCCAGTTTTAAACTCTTTCTTGCACTTATTTTCATACGTTTTTCCCAACCCAGCTTCAAATGAGGTTAGGATCTCAGTTTGTGTATGATAAGGTACAGGGACAGGGGTGTGTGGTGTGCGTGCGTGTGTCTAATAAAAAGACATGCTTGTTTACAAACTAAGATAAAATAATAGCATAAGCCCAGTCCTGACTAACTGTTGCTTTTAAGTGACTTGGCTGGAGTTTTCATTTCTGAAGCGGGAGGATAGTCAAAAGTTAAGAGTATGTTTTACTCAGGTGATATTCTCTCAAGATTTCCTTTCAGAAGCAGCATTAATGTAGGTGTGTAGTACAGTATGTTCTTCTAATAATGACAGTGCTATTGTCATCCATATGTACTTCTGGTTCTTCTCTTTTTCCAGACTGTCTACAAAGCCTGGCTCTGTTCCCAGTATTTTGAAGTCACACAGTTTCACTGCAGCAACAGAATTCCTTGCAAGCAATACTGTTTGGAGGTTCAGACGAGGTGTCCCTTTATATTACCAGACAACGACGATGTCATCTATGGAGGACTATCAAGTTTCATCTGTACAGGTATAGTATAGAAAAGCTAATTTCACCTGTTTTCATAAGTCTAAATGTGAAGGAGACTGTGGATAATGTTTCTTCCATTAGCTCTATGAGAGCCTGAAAGTATTCCTCATCACAAAGATTTCTTGGAGGTGCTAGGATTTGAGCCCAGATTTAGTAATGTGCATTTATGCTACAGCTTGCCACAGTCATTAAGTTTACAAAACAAAATTACTAGAAAAAATTTGTTCTGGTTATTTTTTACGCTGGATAATTTGGTGGAGGATTTTTGTTGCTCCATGTCATGCAGTATTCAGAGAAAAGAGGCTGTCATGTAATATTCAGAAAAAAAGAGAAAGAGAAGTCCAGTTTTTAGTATATTCACCTTTGTTCACCTGCATTCTTATGTCAGGTAAATGAAGAATCTGAGATATAGCATTCAAAACTGTGCAGCAGCTCTTGGAAGGTAAATGTCTGAGGAAAGGTCTTTCACTAGTGAAGAATTTTAAGAATTGTTTGTTCACCTGCGAAGAACTGATCTTTTGGTCTCTTCTTGAGTCTTGTTACATTCTGTGAGTATTTTAAAAGGTATTGTTAATATAGGTCTACACATTGATTGATAAAATGGTTTGATTCCTTTTACATTCCATTCTGCTTCAAACACTATCCCAGAATAACCTAACCAGAGAGGACATGGTAGGCAAAAAATACCTTTAGTACATCCTGGGTACCTCAGATACTTTTTTCAGGACTGGCTCGGAGTCATCCACACAAAATTTCAGCTTATATCAGTGTTATCTGCAGATTTCTGACGCCTAGAGTATCATTTGAGAATCTTGAAGATATTTAGTCAACTTATTCCCACTAAATCAGTAAAAAGGCATTTCAACACTTAGATTGTTTGACAGCTTGGTCCAAATTTCTGAAACTGGACAGCCTTCAGTTTCAATTAGGGCTGCACTGGAGAGCTTGATACTAAATGAGTTGCCCGTGGCAAGCTACTTAAAAACAGAATAAAATATAAAACCCCATAAATGCTCTATACCATCTCAGAGGCAAGCATAATTTCACCTTATACCTTGTGTTTGGATTTAGGGGGGTTCTGGTAGCAAGATATTTACTATATTTCTTCTTGAAGATTAAGCCTATTGCACACACTCGAGCAATATCCATCCATATGCAAAAGACAATATAATGAAATGTAAGCTGAGTTACAATTTGGTAGTCATCAATAAGGTAATGGTGCTTAGCACTTCACTTCAATGCATTTCGTAAATATTAATAGCCTTCCAATATGCATACACAGTAAACAAATGAGCATTATTTTCCAGTTTAAGATAGGACAGTAAAAGCTGAAGTGAGACTTAGGACACTTTTATTTACAACATGTATACAATGTATATGTTTGTATGTGTGTGTATGCATGTATATACACGTGTGCACACTTACACACATACACAATGGCAAGGAATGAACAAATAATAAACAAAACCATCTTAGTAATTATTTCAGAAAATCTCTTAGGAAATACATATCCACCTCTTCACTTTCCTATTATATCTCCAAGTCCAAATTCATTCCTAAAACACACAAAATAGATTACTTTTCAAAGATAACTGGCAGTCGATATCTCTGAGTTTGGGATGAAAAGCAGATTTAGGGGAGGATTAAACTCATTTTATTGCAGGTATTAGTAGTGTGGGTATCTACACATAAACTCTGTGACTAAGCTTTCACTAGAGTCACTGAAGATCTGGTGTGGTCAGTAGAGCTGAGAGCTATTTAATTCAGCCTAAGGAGGCAACTGCACCCGATAAGCTGACTAGTTCTCTATGCCCTGCTAACAGTGCTGGCTGAACTCTATTTGCTGTAGCTGCTGTTAGTCACCAATGTCTTATTGCAGACACTTAAAATCAGGATGACCTGAATCTCATCTCAGCAGTCCACTAACTAATATTTGGTTGAACTTTTTGTCCCCCCAAGTCAAGACTCTCAGCATCAGCAGAGCAGAGTTTGTATTCATGGACCCATAGGAGTCAGCATGCTGACACAAGGCAGTTGTGTGCAAGAGAAGATGCTGAGGAGAGGTAGAAGGTTGCAATTCAAACTTTGTCTGGAATACAAGCACATTGTCTCCCTGTTATTAAACAGCAGCTCACTGTAAGAACACTTCCTGCCACGAAACGAGAAATTAGACTAGTATCTGCTGTGGAGCTAAAGAATTACACTTCTCTGCAGCTTAGTGAAAACAGAAGTATTTCATGTGAAGTACAGTGAGTTCATCAGCAGACAAAATACTCTACCTCAGCATAGCATGTGGCTTGACAGTTAACTTGAACTCCTTTTGCAGAAAAGAACAGAAAGCAGGTCACCCACATCTTGAGGGACCTCTTCTCCTGCTGCACTTTCTGTGAGCTCCTGTCTGGCAGACATGTTCTGGGATTTCTAGTTACTGATCCTGCTCTTCCTCTTCCTGGAGTGGGTGCAATTCATTGGCAAAAACCAAAAGAGTCAGGTCAAAGGTATTTTTATCTGATATTTAGGTGTTATAGGTGGTTGTCTGATGTCTCCATTTGACCTAAGTTCACTGTGAAGCTGGTCACCATTGAGCTACAGGAAACACATCAGGAGCAAACTTTATGTTCAGGGATTCTTCATGAACAGCATTTTGCCACAGCTCATCACTCTTTTAAATTAGGCTTGAATATCTCTGCTGCTTCTGACTCTGATGGTATCCCATGGAGAGAAATGCTACAGGTCCTTTTTTGAAATTTTGACTTGCATTTTCAGAGAAATCCAGCAAGAACTGAATTGGGTTATGTTGGTATGAATTGGGTTATGTTGGTATGATATTTCCCCCCCCCCAAAAAAAAAAAAAAAAAAAAAAAAAAAAAAAAAACAAAAAACCAAAAACAAACTAATGAAAGACTATCTGGTTAGTCTTTTATAACTAACTGTTAGTTATAAAATATTGTCTGGAGAAAAAAAAAGGAGCCCCTCTGCTTATAGGATGATTTATCTCTGAGAAACATCAAGAATTTGTGGATTCTGATTTTCTTTAACAATGTTTTATAATAAGGGCTTCCCTCCCTCCTCTCCATGGTAACAGACTATTTCCTCTAAGGTCCAGTAGAGATTTAGGTTAATGGAAAGACAGAGGACTGATTTCTATAAAACATTTCAATACACCATGGAAGTCAAGGAATAGGAAAAGGTGTACCAATGATAGCTGGTTCTATTTGATGTTGACGACAGCACAGAGTGCAGGATGTACATATAAACATGACATGCCATTTTCCAATTAGAGCTAGATAAAAGACTGATGCAGCTTCATGTCACCAGCAGCGCTGGGAGCTGCTGTGGTGGTACGGAGCTGCCACCTCCCCTCGCCATCCCCGTCCCGCTGCAGCGGTGAGCAGGGGTGCAGAGACATATGCTGGAAGTGGGGGTATGGCAGCACCGGCGGACAGGGAACCCACATACTTTTTTTTTCTTTCAGGGCAGGATTTTCTCGAGGTTGATGGCTGCAAAAAAAAAAAGGTACTGGTGGCTGTAAAAAGAAATATTAACAAAGGTTTTATCCCTCCTTGAGAGGTCCATATGATGAGAAAACAGCATAGGACTGGCTGTTTTTTCCCCAAGAGATTTTGCAGTCATTGTTATCATAGAATTCCTAAATAGGTATTTTTTAAAATGCTGCAAAAAAGTAAATAAGGCTATATGTAGAGTCATTATAGGGGGCAGGCTGGAGTCATAATTGTGGCTAAGAATCACACACGATGGTGGTGTACTTGCTCTCTTCCAGTCCTTTGACACCACCAAATTTAAGAAAAAAAAAAAAAAAAAGTTGTAGTTTATAATACTGATTAATAATGACTTCTTGGAAATTCCTGAAGGACTGGTATAATGAATAAGAAGCATTCTAGCCTGAGAAAGTCTTACTTGATTACCTCCAATGAAAGCAGGTAGTGGGAAAAGGAGAGGGGATGCTACACTAATTGTGTATCACAGGAACTTGTCTTTTGTAGAAATGCATGTGAGGATGTAGGACAACTGCAGTGCAAAAGAAAGTACTTGGGAGATTAATCAAAACAATCAGAATCACAGTGTGGGTCTGATTATGGAAACGTGGTTAGCTAGAAAGAAGTTTTTGTTCCCCTTTCCTCCCTTTCTTCTAGGAAATGGAAAGAAGTCAATCTTTCCATCAGGTGCTGTTCTGGAACACAATATTTTTCATATTCATTCAAATTGAATGGTTGCTTTCAGTTTAGACATTTGGAGTTTATACCCATATGATCAAAGTTTCCAGTGGTTTCATCTAATGTTTCTTCCGGCAGCTTAGATGTCTAGAATTGCCCATGCAAAACAGAATCTTAATTAAGGGAGATAATAATAGTGTTTAGGCATACATACACACACACATGGCAGATTACAATGAATGAGTCCCATGCAAAGTTCCAGGTCAAGTTTTTTAATTGTGACTCCTATAAAAACAGTGTGCGTACTAGTGGGACTGTTTTCTTTCATAGATGTAGTCATCTTTTCCTCTTTTTTCCCCAGTGTGAATGGAAGATGTGAAAGATTTCTTTCACACGTGCTCTTTGAGTGTGAAAAGAGAGCTGAAAGATGTATGACTCTATGTACAGAGCACTGGGAAGAGCCTGGTAATACTTCACAACTCGTGCTTTTCCCGTGCCTTCCAAAGTAATGTGGTCCAGCAGCCGGCCTGGGGACTGGTCCAGACCATGAACTGCTTCCGTCTGGCTTGCTGCCATCTCCCAATGGAGACAGAGAGAGGATGCAGAGGTCAAGTATTTTCTTCACAGCCAAAACTATCCATTCAGTTCTTCAGTTTGCTCAACCCAGAAAATATGAGAGCTCAGTTTCCACCAAATGAGCAGCAGAGATGCCCAAAGAGAAGGGAGAAAAGATGAGCTCTCCTCCGCACCTACAGTCCTTCCCTGAGCAGCCAGGATATGCCATCAACTCCAATGCTGCAGTTGCATCTGCGTTAGCAATTTAGT